TCGGTGGGAGGAGGCGGGAATCAAAGTACGCAAACACCGAGTCTCACTTTTTTTATTCCGACAATAGTTTCCCATAAAAATAAAGAAAAAATTCAAAAAAAATTCCTTCATTGCGAAAAACGCATATTATTTCTGGCAACTTTGAAACTTAGAAAAATTATTCCAGAACGCTTCACCCAATGCTCCAAGGAGCTCGAAAAGCTACTCCAAGAGGATCGTCTCTCCGGCGCACCGCTTCTCTTGCTTGCAAACAAGTGTGATCTTCCAGCACCTTACCCTGCGTATGATCTCTCACATGTCTGCCGAAATTATTTTTCTTAACTTTACGAAGTTTTTTCTTCAGGTTCTTGATATTCCGAGGATCCGGGAAGAGAGATCTTGTCAGATTTTTAACTGCAGTGCGATCTCCGGCGAACTTCTGGTGCAAGCGATGACATGGCTGTGTGATGAAATTATGTGATGATGTCAGAAGTCGGATATTCATTCTTTTTTTGTGTGTTAATTTTTGATCTCTATTCTTGTACATACTAAACATATTTGAAAGTATTCATTTTTCATTGAAATTAAACATTGTAAATTGAAATTACAATATTTGTGGAGAATTGCGCTCAGAGAATCAGAAAACGCATAATTGAACTCTCAGGTAAACGATTCTGAATTAGATCTGACTTCATTCGGAATTAGATCGAATAATTCGAAATTCGGAATTAGATCTGACTAGAGAAGGTTGTAACTGGGGTATGGGACTTTGATATGAGACCTATATCATTCGAAAGCTGAGGATGAGACATTTTCAAATATATTCAGATTTTGCTGCGGACTTACCAGATTCTAGAAAATCGAGTTTAAAATTTGGCTGAAATTCGAATATTTTGAGGGCGAGATCTCCCCCCTTTCTTATATGCATCGGGTAACCAGTGGCAAGCAGCGACTGGTGGTGTAGCACAGGTCCTGGGCGATGATGCGCATAAAGGACCCGATCCATATGCGATCCTCTAGAAGTCCGTTTGACACATATCGCGAACAACGAGCTGCGATGAGTCTCATATGTGTGCGATTCGGGAGAGGCTGAATCGAGTGTTCCGAGTGCGCGCGTATCCTAGATGGATTCTAGGTGGGTGGGCGATGTGTGCGATATGGGTCTGATACGGTAGGCCGACTACAACACTCCGAAGTCCCGGATGCGCGCATTGTTTACCGTAAAATCGCAACTTTGTCAATTTTTCGTCAATTCGAGCCTACATTTCTGGTTTTTCGATTATTCCTTCGACGTTTTTTGTGAGGTTGGTAAGTATAAAATAATTACAAAGTGTAAGTTATAAAAATTTTCATTTTTTCATGCAATTTCAAAAAAAAGTGAAAGTGAGACATATTTTTTGAACAAATGAAAAAAAAACAATTTTTAGCGATTTTTTCCCATTTTGTTCTGTTTTTGATTGCATATCAAATTTAAATAGAAACTGCCCTAAGTCTTTTTCAAAACCAAAACATTGACTTCCGAAAAATCAGTAATATGTCGTTCAAAATATAAAAGAATATAGAATAATAAAGGAAAAGTACGAAATCGGAAGACCTGAACAAAATCACATCACAATAGAACTTAACTGATACTTCTAGGAACCCCCAACCAACGTTTTAGTTCATTTCATCGAGTGCCAGCAAGCCAGGCGAGGAGATGCTTTGCGGCGGCGGTGTGCCCCATATGCCCCGTATATGCCCCATACCGGCGTCCTTTCCCTGTACCCAATTCATCGGCGCGTCCTCCGTCGCCCATCCATTATGCGTATGCGCGCCCAGGACCTGTGAGTGGTGAGGAGGGAGGACGGTAACTGAATAGAATTGGGTTCGATTCCTCTGTCCTCAATTTGTTTTCGTTTTTGTTTTTGGTCTTTGTGGAAATCTTCGAAATGCTCTGAACACATTTTTCAAAAAAAAAAAATTTTTGTAATACTGTACATAGTTTTTTGGCGGTTTCGTTAATCAACGCTAAAAATCTTCATCCAGTTTTGTATGTCGGAGTTCATTAGAGTTGTTAGTTTTCCGACACACAGTGATCATTCAACCAGACATGATTTGAATCTGTTTTCGCAAGTTTTGAGCGCTACTGGGTGGTCATTGTAGTACTACGGTCTGTTGAAAATCAGGAAAAGAATCAACATTTCTCGATTCCGAGAAGAAAATAGGTTATCAAATCTTGTAAAAACCTAATTTGATTGTTTTTTTACGTTTAAAACTTTTTTAGCTCTTTTGATAATTTTCGAAAAATTTAAAGATTTTCGAAAAATTTGAAGAATCAAAGGGGATACCCCATGGAATTTTTTTTCAAAAATTTTTTCTGAAAAAAAAAACAAAAAAAACACTGTGAGATTGTATAGAAACATCCAAAATTGCAAGCGTAATCAAAAAAACATCTAAAATCTTTCATAAACCATTAACTTTCTATTCTCAAGAGTCAAAAAGTGGTTGGAAGATCTAGCTATAGCTTAAAAGCTATAGCTTAAAAAAGCTATAGCTTAAAAACAATGAAAATAATTTAAAATCGTGGATTCGTCGAAAAATCGAAAAAATAGGCAACCAAATAATTACAAAAATAAAAGCCTTTAAGGATTTCGATACCGGACCCAAGCTCCGCCAACCCTCAAATTTTCGGCCGCAATGCGCATTGAAACTGGACCAGAGTAATAGTCATAAACAATGCAGTAGACAAGGGTACACGGTAGACTTCAGTATCAATTCTTCGTTTTCAATCCCATGACGAGCCCCATGGTTCCTTCACAAGTGTAAACAGATGCTTCCAATCCGTCAATCCGTTTTATATCGTATCCTTCTCCTACTAGGTTATGGTACAGGTTCCTGGAAAAAAAATCGAGAAATTGAATTTGAAATTTAGAAAAATACAAAACAACTTACACAGGAACCATCGGTTGTCCTATTTCATATGGTATATTTTCTAGAACAGTACCCAAAAAGTTGTCTTTATCAATTAGATTGATTTCAAATTGTTTAGTGTTCAGATGGCATTTCATGTCTATCCAGTTCTTCAGAATCAGATTCAATTCTTGATTTGTGATGGTAGTTCTCATAAACGCCACATATGGGAAACTAAAGTTTGTCGCATGATCTACAGTAATCCATGATCCGTTTTCAATCATTAATTGCTCAAAAGTCCCTTTAATTCTCAATGGAAGCTTCTCTTTGGTTTCCGCCATAAGTCGGAGAATTAATGTCGGTGTTATATTGTCCAAAATATATTGCACATCTTTTTGTGGAACATTCTGACCAATAATAGTAATACAATCAATTGTAGGAAATCTCAGTTTCACCCATTTCACACTTTCTTCGATTCTTCCTTCGAGTGGATTCATCCAGAAGCTGATACATCTGATTTTTTTATTCATGACACTAATTGCATTAGTGTAAAGTTTGTTGAAATCTTTCATGATGTTGTTGGAATAAACGTAAACAATCTCGAATTGTTTGCCGTATGTATCATCAATTTCAGTTTCTCTTTTTCGATCCTTTTCCTTCTCATCCGTCATTACGAAGTCATACCAATTACCTTCATATTCAATCATTAAGTGAGGACATTTTTCGAGCATAACATGTTTGAGTTTTGCATACCATCGACCCCTCTTCGAGGTTCGTGACAAGTCAAGTCTGGAAAACAATTAAGTTGATGATCTCTTTTACATCACTAATGTTTTTTGAAAATGTGTACAATCTCTCATTCGTCTTGTTCATAAAACAAAATTTTCCAAGCCATTCGAATGCAATAAATTTCTCAATAATGATAATTCAGAAATCAACGAGTTAACTGAAGGTTGTTATGGGCTGTCCAATGACTCGTCCATGTTCTCAAACAATTATAAAAAAATAGGTGTTCGTTGTTTTTCCAAGAACTCAGTAAACTAAGCCTAATTTTAACAAAAAAAAACATATCAAATAGGTCCATTTTTCAAATTTTATCATAAATAAGGGGATTGTTAGTTTTCCACAATAAGTTGAACTAAAATAAACTCACATATCAAATGGGTCCATCGTGCTCAAGACATTTCGAGTCACGACAATCGGTAGGTCCAGAAATCGAAATTTATCTCGATTTTTCATTGAATCACTGGAGAAACTGGGATGGTAGATGTTAGGAGGCTGTGTAGAGAGGTAAAAAAAGACGAGATGTCTGCGAAGAGGTAGGGGAATAAAGAAAGACGAGATGTGTTAGAGGTGGACCATTGACCTAACGAGCGAGGGAGAATAGAAAGACAGACATTGGCAGATGGTGATGCTGTGGCGTTCTGCACTCATCGGGTTTACCTCTTATGTCTGGTCAACATCCAACACAATGTGTCATCCCGTGTTTCTTCATTACCCTACCACAGAGATCCCCTCCTACTACTATCCTAGTTTCTCCAGTGAGGTTCGACGAATCTGTTGACGAATAAATTTCTAGATGTTTCCAGGATTCTCAGTTGAACTTGTGGGATGTTGGAGGGCAAACAAGACGTACTGAAAAAAAAAGTTTGAGATTTTTCGGATGGAGATGAGCAGAAAAATACTGTCTTCTGAATCAACTTCTGAATATTCCAGGCGTTCACACTTCATTAAAAAAATCCAGAATGCCTCCCAAAACGCTCAGAAGAGCTGAAAAGGTTACTCCAAGAAGACGAACTCTCCGGCATGGTTTTGTGATGATGTCGGAAGTCGGATATTCATTATTGATTGATTCCTCTGTGTGATAATTTTTGATCTCTACGTAATTTTTGAAAGATATTCATAATTTTTAAAAGTATTCATTCTTCATTGAAAAAAGAAATGAGGAAATATCCTTTGGGTCCATCACGAATGTAAATAGAATCTGTCAATCCGTCAATCCGTTTTATATAATATCCTGCTTCTACTGTATGCTTTGGATTCCTGAAAAAAATCAAGAACTTAAATCTGAAATTTCAAAAAAATTTACAAAAGAACTTACTCAAGCTCTGTCGGTTCCGCTATTTCGTATGAAATATTTTCTAGAGCAGTATCCAAAAAGTTCTCTCAATCTGTTAGATGTTTGTTCCTAAAAGCGTCACAGATGGATAATTGAAATCCTTCAAATGATTTACAGTAATCCATGATCCGTTTTCAATCATTAGTTGCTCAAAAGTCCATTAATCCGTTTTATATCGTATCCTCCTTCTACTAGGCTATGGTATGGATTCCTGGAGAAAATCAAGAAATTGAATTCCGAATTTCAATAAAAAATCACATAACAATTTACAAAGGAACTATCGGTTGTCCTATTTCATATGGTATATTTTCTAGAACAGTATCCAAAAAGTTCTCTCCATCCATCAGATTGATTTCAAGTTGTTTCGTCTTTAGATGGCATTTCATGTCTATCCAGTTCTTCAGAATCAGATTCAATTCTTGATTTGTGATGGTAGTTCCCATAACCACCACATATGGGAAACTGAAGTTCATCGCATGATCTACAGTAATCCATGATCCACTCCCTATTCGTATTTGCTCGAAAGTCCCTTCAATTCTCCATAGAAGATTCTCATTGGATTCCGCCGTTTTTCGAAATTTATTTGTCGGCGTTATATTGTCCAAAACATATTGCACATCTTTCTGTGGAACGTTCGGACCATTAATATGAATACGCTCAACATTGGGAAATCTCAGTTTCACCCATTCGACGCTTTCTTTGATTCTTCCTTCGAGTAGATTCAACCAGAAACTGACACATCGGATTTTTTTTATTCATCACACTAATAACATTAGTGTGAAGTTTGTTGAAATCTTTCATGATGTCGTTGGAATAAACGAAAACAGCCTCATATCGAATACCACCAGAAACATCAAATTTAGTTTCTCTTTTTCGATCCTTTTCTTTCTCGTCCGTCATCACGAATTCATAGAAGTTTCCTTCATATTCCAGCAATAAGTGAGGAAATTTTTCGAGAATAAGAAGTGGAACCTGGAAAACAATTAAGTTGTCTGTAGCACTACCAATGTTTTATTGCACTGAAAATTTTACAATCCTTCATTTGTCTCGATTTCAAAACACAAGTCATTCGGAATTTCAATATAATAAATGTCTCAAAAATGATTAATTTAGAAAACAACGAGTTCACTGAAGATTGTTATGGACTTCCCAATGATCCTCGTTAATTTTCAAATATTACCACAAAAGAGATGAATAATCGTTTTCTAAGAACTCAGTGAAGTCAAGAATAACTCTAGCAAAAACTCACATATCCAATGGGTCCTTTGTGCTCACGACATTTCGAGTCACGACAATCGGGAGGTCCAGAAATCGAAATTGATTCCGATTTTTCATTGAATCACTGGAGAAATTCATTGGGTTCACCCCTTACTACTATCCCAGTTTCTCCAGGGATTCAATGAGCAGACAAATACCGATGTCTGGACCTCCCGATTGTTGTGATTCTAGAGGTCCGATAGATCTTTTGACAAAGAAATTTTCTTCTGGCCTAAAAGTTGTTTGGGGCGCGTTTTTTGACCCGTTGCCTTGGACCCAAGTGCAGGTTCACATGTTTTCAAAGCACTGATCTAAATCGAAAACTACAGTAATCCGACGTGAATCTACTATTTTCGTTTTTACTTTTTTTTAATTACAAAAAAGGATCAGAAATTCTGCGTGCTGACAACTTTCATGAGCTTTTTTCTCTTATCTTATCTCTAGATCTGATCTACAGGGGCTATATAAGCAGGAGAAATCAATGAAAAGTCGGACCAAGGAGTCGATGAGGAGTCCGATTTGCAAAGTGGTTCCAGGGCAGCTTTATGGATGGGATCCGATCGATTCTACGAAGACTACTGACGATGATCACCGGGAGGACGACGTTGGGTGAGGACGACGTTGGATGTCAAATGCTGGAAAGAGTTAGATGCTGTCAACTGCCAGGAAGCTTCGAATGCGCTAATCATTGCTATTTTGTTTTTTAGAAGACTGATCGACGTCATTGAAGTAAAAAAAGTACTAAAAGGCCTCAGGTCGCCATTGTTTGGGGTTCATGGCTAGGTGTTTATCACTGAACGTCCCCCTTTTACCAAATGACAGAAATCAAATTTTAAAAGAAAATTAAATAGCCATTGATAGCGTACGCTGAGCTTTCTGGCAGCAGAGAAGGATCTACCAGGACACACCGACTTACGACTTCAAACGTCCAACTTCCGAGTTCAACACTTCCACTTCATGACATCTTTTCACATCTCTTTTTTATCAATTTCTTATCTTATCAAGTTTTTCAGATTTTGAAGATTTTGATTTTTGGAATAAGGATTACTGTAGCAATGAAAAGCGTACACATGGCTTTCTGTTAGCAGCGAATCAACTAGCAACGAGAATCTGTCTGGCACCTTTCTATGAAAAACTGGGGCGCAGAAGTGCTGCAGAAAGTTTTCGAGAAACCCAGAGTTGTCGGATGGAGAAGTGCAGAAAAAAAGACTGTCTTCTGAAAAACCTTCTGAATATTCCAGGCGTTTACAACTCATGAAAAAACTTCCAGAACGCCGCACAAAATGCTCAGAAGACCTGAAAAAGTTACTCCAAGGAGACCGACTCTCGGCTCTGTGACGATGTGAAAAGTCGGATATTCATTCGATTGATTCTTTATTGCATACTTGCTAAATCCGAAAAATTTTCCCGGTCCGGGTTCCGAAAATTTCAAAAATTTTCAGTTGATTTTTTATAAACTTTTTTGAAAATAATAATATTTTGTCTCAAAAACCCGGCCCGCGACATTTATGCTTTATTATATTTATTTTTATCTCTTTTCATGTACATAACATTTTAAAGTTTTCATTCTTCATTGAAAAAAGAAATATGGAAATATCCTTTGAGTCCATCACAAATGTAAATAGAAGCTGTCAATCCGTCAATCCGTTTTATATAATATCCTGCTTCTACTGTATGCTTTGGATTCCTGAAAAACATCAAGAACTTAAATCTGAAATTTCAAAAAATTACAAAGCAACTTACTCAAGCTCTATCGTTCTGCTATTCCGTATGGAATATTTTCTAAAGCATTATCCAAAAAGTTCTCTCTATCTGTTAGATTGATTTCCGATTGTTTCGTTTTTAAGTGACATTTCATGTCTATCCAATTCTTCAAAATCATATTCACTCGTTGGTTTGTGACGTTCGTTCCCATAAGCGTCACATATGGGAAATTGAAATTCTACAGTAATCCATGATCCACTTCCAATTCGTATTTGCTCAAAATTTGCAATTCGTATTTGCTCAAAAAACTCATCCGTCATTACGAATTCATAGAAATCCGTCATAATATTCTATCAATAAGTGAGGAACTTTTTCGAGAAAAATAATCAGTGTATCGCTTGGGAACTTCTTGAGTTTTGCATACGATCGGCACCGTTTTGATGTTCGTGATAAGTCGAATCTGGAAGACAATTAAGTTGACAATCTTTGTATGGCAGCACCCGCAAAGGCCCGGTTCAAAACTTTGACTATTTCAGTTTCTCCAGTGATTCAATGAGCAATCGAGCAATCGAGAGATAAAACTTGAAATTAATCTGATGGATGGAGAGAACTTTTTGGATACTGATCTAGAAAATATACCATATGAAATAGGACAACCGATAGTTCCTTTGTAAATTGTTATGTGATTTTTTATTGAAATTCGGAATTCAATTTCTTGATTTTCTCCAGGAATCCATACCATAGCCTAGTAGAAGGAGGATACGATATAAAACGGATTAATGGATTGGCAGCTTCTATTTACATTTGTGAAGGGCCCAAAGGATTAGCAATGGGATTGAAAACAAAGGATTGAATCTGGATTTTTTGTGGATTTATGGATCTTCTATTCTCGTTCTGAAAACCTTACGAAATTATTTTTTCCGGTCCTGGATTTTTTAGGTCCTGTATCTCTTCATGTACATAATTAGTATTCATTTTTCATTGAAAAAAGAACAAAAAGAAAATGGAAGAAATAAATTAAAAATTATAAAATATTTGTCGAGAATTGCACTCGGAGATTCCGGTTGTCGTGTGTGATTGGTGGTGACTACTTTTCTAGCAGTCAGAATTCTTTGATCGTGGCACTCGGGAAACGATCATGTACGTCATGAAAATGGCGACGAAGATGGTGAATCCGGCGAAGACGGAGGCGATGGAGACGGCGAAGTAGCTGACGCAGAATCCTTGGCCGAAAGTGTCGTATCCGATTTCGCTGGAGGCGACTAGAGCTTCAGCGGATGTTCGGAGAGAGGCTGGGAGCTGAAAAAGAAGGAATTTACTAAAAATTGCTCAATTAGATCATCCACTTACATCTCCTTCCAAAACTTCCAAAGTCGTAAGCTCGGCGCGCACATCCAACACATTCTCCATAGCTTCAACGGATCTCTTCTTCAAAACTCTAAAGAACTGAGCGGTCTGATTGGCCTGCTTGACAGCTCCAAATCCTTGTGGCTCAGAGCAAGTCGGGCGAGCGCACTCCTCATGTGGTTCCTTGACAGTGATCGAAATCTGGCATTGATAGAACAATTGAGAGCGATCGGCGTATTTGTAGACGTGAGCTTCTTGTCCAGCCATCAAATCAGTTGGATATTCGAGATTGTTGAGCAAGAACTTGTCGAGAGCACAACCGTTCTCATCAAGAATCTGAACGGTGTCACCGTTTCCATCATCGACAGTGCAAGAGTGAACGACGGCGCAGAAGGTGTCGACGGTCTCGGAATCGCAAGTCCATTTGTGGTAGACTTGTTGTCCAATAGTGGCAAATTGCACTGGCTCTCCGGTTGGTCCTCCGTTGAGAATCTCGTACTTGCAGATTGGCATTGGGACGACTTGGGTTTGGAAGGCGGTCGTGAGATCGGAGACTTCGATTTGGGTGGAGACGGTCTTGTCGGCTTCCATGTAGAAGCATTGGATACGGTAGGCTCTGAAAATGATGGGGTTGTATTGTGGAAAGATGATTAATGGAGCTAGGTAGTTCCAGAAGTTTGAGTTTGGCTCACTGGGATCTCTAGAATATTTTTATCCCGAAAATCCTAAATTGATCAATGTCTCGGTAAATGTCGGGCAAAAGCATCAAGATGTACTAACTTGGGGACTTGCCCAACTTGCCCAACTCAAATCGACCCTTAAAACAGACTTACCGATCAACCTTGGTGACGAATTGTGGATGGAAGGAGACAACGACGGTGGTGGTGACGAACACTCCCTTGGGGTTCAACGAACGGGTACGTGCCACGTTGCAAGTGTCGAATGGAAGCTCGATACCGGCAACTTGCCGTCCTCCCTCGTCATTTCTGCACTCTTGTTGATCGAAGAGTCCCTTGACGTAGACGTGCCCCTCGAATGCGTTTCTGGTGTTGAAGTTTACTGGAAATAAATTTTGAAGTTTTTATTAGAAGTCTAAATTACCTGTGATGGATGTTGGTCCACACTCGATCTCGGGCTCTCCCTCGACATTGTTATCAACTGGAATCGCGCTCACCGACGCTGCCAGTAAACACAATCCGAGACCGATAGTAAACCTTTGCATTCTGAAATTGTATCAGAATTTTTTCATTAAAAAAAGAAGGAGAAAAAATGTGTCTCAAAATAAATTAGAATGGCGAGTGTAGAAGCTTCAAAAACGCTATTTATATAGATACACACAGGCGGCTTATCGTCGGTGGCTGATCATTTAGGAATTGCGAGGGAGGAGACGACGACGATGAACTTTTGGATCCGCCCACTTTTATGTGATTTTCAAGATTGAGAGAAAAGGTAACAGCAAATTAGCAGTTTGACAAAAATTTTGTAAGAATAGTATCAGACAATAATGGGATACTGTAAAGTTTATAAGAGAGTTGTAGCCTAACTTTGAGCCAAATTTTCTCGGTTCGTGTGAAAGATATCAACAAGTGGTCAACTAACAAAATATTTAATTTGATATAATTGATATTTTGTCAGTTGACCACTTTTTGATATCTTTCACAGGGAATTAGATATATAGGCTTGAAGTTGGGAGCGTCCTATTAGAGTGTTTATGGCAAATGTGCCGCTCACAAAGCAGAGAATTTCCAAACCGCGTCAGATTTCAAGAGGTGAATTCTACAAAAAGTTTATAATTACAAAAATATAGCTCTATTTTTGTTTGATATTATCTGAAAGTTTCGGGTTTATTAGGCAATTTAAAATGACTTTTGTAGTATATTACAAATTATCATGGTGTTTTTTCTAATAGAATGCCATTCTACCCTTAGCTTTCAACTTCAATTATCTCGGTTTCTGTGAGAGATATAAAAAATTTGTCAACTGATAAAATGTTGATTATATTATCACACATGTTTTAGCAATTGGCAAGTTTTCGATATCTTCCATGGGGACCGAGATAATTGAGCTCAAAGGAGTACGTGCAGGGAAATACGGAATCTTCTGTGGAACAAAGGAAATACGGTACCTGTAAACTGAAATTAAAGGAGGCCAGACACCAAAAAAAAGTTTTCCTGATATTTTGCATAGAGAACCCTCATGAGGGGTTGAACTCATGACAGGCAGCTCAGGGGTACAGCGCCGCTACCGGCTGAGCTATGGGGGCGCGAAGGCGCCTGACGACCGATGGTCTACATAAGCGCGGCGCGATTTCTACTGAGGAATCGTTCAAATCGAAATTTAAAGAATTGAGTTTCAGCTTCTTCAGTGAAAAATAGTCAGCTTTAAAGTCCCACAAAAGTAGACTGGAATCTTTCGATTTGCCTGAAATCTTCGGAGAATACTAAATCCAAAGGAGATATGATGCTTCGAAATAAAACAACGTCGAAACTTTTATTTCTATTACAGGGGGTCCTTCTAATAAAGGGGACCCTTCTAATACAGGTTTTATGGAATATTTTGTGATAATAAATTTTTAGCGTTTTCAGAAATTATCAGAGGTATCTAGAGTTTTTTGCCTACTTTTTCGGAGCAAAAAAAATGAAATGAAAATTTCCAGGAATTCGAAAACTTCTAGACTTTTCCAAAACACTAAATACGAAATCCACTATTATGGAAACCAGAAAACAGTGTAAGAATGTCATCCTTCCCGTCATATCCAACCCAGGATTCCTTTACATAGTCGTCCTCATCAATTCGTTGTTTTATTGGGACAACTTATAGACTCATTTATGTATCACCCCAGAGACATATCAGGATGATGCTTCTGGCGGTTCTTTTTCTTCTTCACGAGAGAGAGAGAGAGAGAGAGAGAGAGAGAGAGAGAGAGAGAGAGAGAGAGAGAGAGAGAAAAGAGAAGTGAAAGGATAATTTCGGCATAATTAGGCTATTATCAGAAGGAGAGAGAAGGCTTTATTAGCTTTTTGATTATCGGCAGATTTATCAGTGATTTGTATTGGCAAGGGGAAATTCGATTTTTATATTTAGTTCTTAGAGTCTTAGAATCTTAGAATCTTAGAGTCTTAGAATCTTAGAATCTTAGAATCTTAGAATCTTAGAATCTTAGAATCTCAGAATCTCAGAATCTCAGAATCTCAGAATCTCAGAATCTCTGGATCTTAGAATCTTCGAATCTTTGGAGATTCTGAAAACCGTAGATTTGAGAAATTCAAAAATTCCAGAAAGCTCCAAAAGTTCGAAAATTGCAGCATGATAACTTTCAAGAAAAAACGGAGTTTCCAAAATTTCGTTAAATGTGGGGGGACATGAAAAAAATAATGTTCTCGAAATTTCGTTTAAATATGCCTCTCGAGGAGTTGAACGTGTGGGACGAGGATTGAGGGTGCGGCGCCGCTACCGACTGAGCTACACGGACAAAGAGAAAGCGGTCGTCCGATTGCATTCATAAAGGCGAGGACGACAGCTGTACGCAGAGTGACATTAAGCGTTGTACACCGTCACGGTAGAATGCATACTCTGGCCCCAAAAATCCCCCGTAAAATCTCCTGTCCCCCCACCTTTAAATCAGAATTCCAGAACTTTCTGATTTTCTAAATTTCCAAGATCACTTTTTAAAACTTTCCTGTACTCCGAAAGTTCATAAATTCAATCAACACAGAAAGAATAATTTCAGGAAATGCGTTTCAGCTTTTTGTGAAACTTTAACTTCTTGTTCTTCAGAAAATCGCCCGTCGGGGTCCCATGTTCGGTCGGTCGGCTAAATTTCCCGACCGAATGGAAGTCTTAGTTGCCAAACTACAGTAATTATAATAAAAACTGTCAACTTGAGTGACAGGAGACAACTAGGTATTGTTTTTTTTTCTGTCTGTATGTACGGTAAAACCTGCATGAGAAAGTACGTCTTCTCCTATTTCAAACCACTCCGCTCTTCTATTAAAGAGGCCATTCTATTGAAGGGCCAATACAGGTTTTACGGTATATGTTCAAGGCTACAGTAATCCCGATAACAGTTTTTATTTGGTGAAACTCTTAAATCAAAGTTTGAAACCTTAACGAAAGTGATTCAATCAAAAAAATCTGGAATCTAAAGGTCGGATCTCATTTACGTCATCTCCGAAACTTCTCCGTCCGTCGGCCTTGAAACATCATAATAATCCGAAATGCATAATTTTTTGATAAGACTTTGAAACAAAAAAATGAAGAAGAAAAACCGGACTTTTTCGGACAGGAATGGTCAGTTATGGATATATGGAAAAGAGAATTTTGAAGAACGAGTTTTTTGGGTTTTTGAAAAAAAATGGGCATATATGACAATTTTTTTAGTTGAGGGAAAATAAACTGAGAGGGGAATGGTCATTAGACATGTCCTTATGACAAATTATATGAAGAAGTTACTAGTTCCTTAGAAGAAGCCACTTGACAAAACTGTTGAGTGGATGGATTTGTGGCTTTTTTTTTGGTTTATTTGTTAGTCATCTTTCTCTGAATTCTTTTAATCTAAAAGAGAAGGTTCTTTTTCAGAGTATAGAAAGTTTACAGAAAAAAAAGAGAGAATAATTGATCTATGATCCGATAGGAGGTGTATTAGGAAACGGGAATTGTCTTGCATGTTATTAATTATTGGATTCGAGAAATCGAAAGAAAGAGATAAAGAGGAAGGGATTGAAAAAAAAACTATTTGGCCTTTTGGGATTTAAGCTTCCAATTTTTTGAACTTCTTTTTGAGCAATGTCAAGACTCTGTAATTTAAAATACCGTATTTCCACTAATAGATCCCTGCCCCAAACCGTCCACTTTAAGCTCAAACATCTCTTTTCCTATAAAATACATCGAAAATGTGTCGACTAATAAAATTTTGATGATAATATGATAAACATTTTGTCTGTTGACATATTTTCGATATCTTTTACAGGAAATGAGATATATGGGCTCAAAGTTGACGGTTTGGTGGACTTTTACTAGAGAAAATACGGATACAAAAGAAATGAAACTGGTATTTCTGATTTTTTCGAATCCTTAAGTTGTTAAATATTTGAAACATTACAGCTCTTAGATTGTTGGAATTTGAGATTCAAAGATTCTGAAAATCTGAACCATCAAATGTTTTTTTTTGAATTCCGAAGTACAAAAACAAACAGAATGCCACATTTGTAACCTCTCTAGAGTTCCAAAGAGATTGAACGGTTTTATATTCTGAATCTGGAAATTTTATGAGATTCTGAAAGTCGGGAATTCAAAGCTTTAGAATTCCTGCAAATATTTCATGACATATAACGCAAATATGGTACTGTAGCTGTTTTTCAGCCTCAACCCTCTCTTCTCTACGTCATCCGGTCCCCGGAACTCCTTCACCTCCAGATGACCATATATTCTTATACGTCTTTTATGTCTTCTCCTGTCAGCGTCCACGTAGCCGAAAGGATAACGTGTGCGGTTGTGGGACCACCGGGGGAATGGAAAGGACGAGTTCGATTCCCCCGGTGGTCTTTGATTGATGACGTGAGGAGGACCCACGTCTCTACCGCACATCGTTAAGGCACGGAGGACGTCGCTGGAGGACCGGCAACTACAAGCAACGATCGAGCGAAGGAGGATCACTGATGGAATGATAAATATATAGTAATGTCCTGAATTGTGTAGATTAAGAAAAATAAATAGTTTTTTCGAGAATTTCGGAACTTTTTGATTTTGGACACTGAGTTCAAACTTTTTGAAAATTCTGAATTAGGCGACTGAAATTGGGTTTTGGAAAACTCGAATCCTGCATTTTTAGATTCTGATGTTTTGAGATTATGAAGAGTTAATATACTGAATGTCTGGTAGGCCCGTATTCTGACATTTTGAGATCGAAAAGTTTTGAGATCCAACCTTCTCGTATACAAAATTTTTGAAATTTTGAAGATTCGAGATCCAACGTTTTCAAATTCTAAACCGTTGGGTGTCGGAATTCCGAAGATCCTGAACTTGAAACTTTAAAGTTTTACGATTCCGAAATTTTGAAATTTCTAAGTTTTGGTGCTGCAAATTTAGAGTATTGTACTTGTATTGAATTTCAGCCTAAACCCTCTCTTCTCCACGTCATCCGGTCACCGGACCTTCTTCACCTCCAGATGTCCATATATTCTTATACGTCTTCAATGTCTTCACATGCCAGCGTCCCCGTAGCCGAAATGATAACATGTGCGGTTGTGGGACCACCGTAGAATGGAAAGGACAAGTTCGATTCCCCTCGTGGTCTTCGATTGATGACGTGAGGAGGACCCATATCTCCATCGCACATCGTTAAAGCACGGAGGACGTCGGTGGGGGACCAGAAACGACAAGCAACGAGCGAGCGAAGGAGGATCACAGAAATTATTATAATTGCTACTGTTCTGAATTGTAAATTGAAGGAATAAATAATTTTTTCTGAGGATCGTGAAACTTGGAGATTCAATAATTTATAGGAAATCATTGTTTAGATCGATGGAATTTTACAAATCCCAATGGACCTCGGAGTTCTGAAACATTGGATTTTGAAAAGGAACGTTTAAAAACTTCAAATTTCGAAAATTAGGCGAACAAAGTTTGTTTTTAATTAATTCTGCCAACCTTGAAGAATCCTAAAAATTCTGAGAATTCTTAAAATCTGAATTCAGCGGACTCATCTCTGCTCCGCCCTATGATGCCTGGGGGTACAGCGTGACCTCAGAAAAGATGTACATGCGAGCTGCCAAGGTGGCTGCTAATATTTCGAACCAACTCGAATCCAACCAGAAGACACAAAATCTTCAGACGCCGTCAAGTGAGTTTTTTTTTCTGTCAGAATCTAGGACTCGAAAAATCTGAAAATCAATCTCCAACCTTTTCCCCCTCATGGGGAATTGTGACTCCTTCCTGCAATTTTCAATTCCTCCAAAATTGCATTACTACCAAATGGCTATTGTACGTGCAAAACAAAAAGAGCACACAAACACCCATTTTCTCTAAATCTCTCACTCTCTCACACCCTCTCTAACCACCCAAAAGCACAGTACGTGAGGTCGTAAGCATTTTTTCTCTGTTTGAACCCGGGTCTCTTTTATGTACTCACACGTACACACACACACAAAAGTGTTGCAATATTTTGGTAGGGTGCAGAATTTTATCAAAAAGAAAATGGCATATTTGATGTCATTATAGGGGTGGGGAAGCGGTATGAAACTGAAGAAGTGTGATTCAGAATTTTTTGGTTGGTAGAAGAAATCACGTAGAGCTGCTTTAGTTGGGTTGGAAAAAACGGAAGTTCTGTGATTCTGAAAATTTTCCGGTTGTCTGAAATTTCTAAAATTTCGTTAATTTTTATTTTCTGAAACTTTTGGTTAGCAAATTCTAAGATTCTGGGATTCTAAGATTCTAAGATTCTAAGATTCTAAGATTCTAAGATTCTAAGATTCTAAGATTCTAAGATTCTAAGATTCTAAGATTCTAAGATTCTAAGATTCTAAGATTCTAAGATTCTAAGATTCTAAGATTCTAAGATTCTAAGATTCTAAGATTCTAAGATTCTAAGATTCTAAGATTCTGAGATTTGAGATTCTAAGATTCTAAGATTCTGAGATTTGAGATTCCGAACTTTTGAGAATCTGAATTTTTGATATTTCGAGTTTTTTAGAAAATAATTTTCGAAATTCTGAAAGTTTGAGACTTTGGGGTGACCGTATTCCCAATTTTTTAGATTTTGCAGTTTTCAGATTCTAAATTTTTGAGATTCCAACATTTTGAAGTTTTGAACTTACGAGAGTGGCCATGAATTCTGAAAATTTTAGATTCTGAAGTTTGGAAAAAATCTAAACTTCTGAAATTCTGAAGTTTCGAAATTCTGAATTGTGTGATTTCAAGGTTTCTAAAGGTTTAAAATTTGTTAAATAAAAATGTTGAATGAAAGCCAATTTTTTGAATGAAAGCCAATTTTTTTAGAGAATACTTCTCGACTACTATTTTTCTCAGTCATGAATCTCCGATTTTCTCAAACCCTATAATTTATTTTCCGAGCTCTCAGTTTGAAAAATGAACCCCAAACTTTTCATTTCAAAAAACCCATTTGTCACTCTCCCATCTGCTCTTTGCCTTCTTTTTCGCTGCTCCCAGAATAGATTTTATATACGGCTCACAGAGCAATTATATTATTCGAAGGGGAAAAATTCTAATTTGTTAGTGCTCCAATTTCCGTTTCCAAGTATAGCGTTTGTTTTCAGATCTAATTATTTTGTTATTTCTGTGGCATGTGCTGAACTTTTGCTTATATTTCCGTTTTTGTATTTGACGAATGCAAAGTTAAAAAATCTACGAATTTGAGCTTTTGAGATAAATTTGAACTTTTGAATAATCTTGGAATTTTAAGATCGGCACGAATTCTCTGATTTTGATAGTTGATTAGAACTGAGCTTTTTTTGCATTTTTTGACATTTTCAAAACTTTGAGATTCTGAGATTCTGAGATTCTGAGTTTCTGAGATTCTGAGATTCTAAGATTCTAAGATTCTAAGATTCTAAGGTTCTAAGATTCTAGGATTCTAAGATTCTAAGATTCTAAGATTTTAAGATTCTGAGATTCTGAGATTCTGAGATTCTGAGATTCTGAGATTCTGAGATTCTGAGATTCTGAGATTCTGAGATTCTGAGATTCTGAGATTCTGAGATTCTGAGATTTTGAGATTCTGAGATTCTGAGATTCTGAGATTCTGAGATTCTGAGATTCTGAGATTCTGAGATTTTGAGA